TGGACCAGCTGTCTTGAAATCAGTGACAATTTTAAGAGCTCGATACTACTCTTATAAATTTAAGTGGACCAGCTGTTTTGAAATTAGTGGCAATTTTAAGAGCTCGATACTACTGTTATAAATTTAAGTGGACAACCTGTCTTGAAATTAGTGACAATTTTGAGAGCTCGATACTACTCTTATAAATTTAAGTGGACCAGCTGTCTTGAAATTAGTGACAATTTTGAGAGCTCGATACTACTCTTATAAATTTAAGTGGACCAGCTGTCTTGAAATTAGTGGCAATTTTAAGAGCTCGATACTACTCTTATAAATTTAAGTGGACCAGCTGTCTTGAAATTAGTGACAATTTTCGTCCAAAAACGTAATTTTTTGCTGCGAAAAACATACGTTATACAATGATTCACTCGCTGGTCTTATGAAACAAAAAATAATCACAGAGTGAAGTCGAAAGTCTGACTGCTAGAGGTTATTCTAGTCTGTTTATATAATATGTTCATGTTCATTATATCTTGCTTTTCGCACTATCTCTGCTTATGCGATATGTTAATTATATCTCGCGTTACATATTATGTGATATGTCTATGTTAATTATATCTTACTTTGCACATTACACCTATTAATGTAATACGTTTAAGATAATTATATCTTGCTTTTCGCACTATCTCTGCTTATATCATATGTTTATCATCACCATATCTTGCTTTACACACTATATCTGCTTATATGATATATTTATATTCTTTTTTACACTATATTTATTTATATGATATGTTTATCATCACTATATCTTGCTTTACACACTTTATCTGTTTATATGATATGTTTACGATCATTATATCTTGCTTTAAACACCATATCTGTTTATGTTCAGTCTTTCTCATTATACACACTATTACGTTTCTTAGGAAATATTCTACGTTTAAACGTTTCTATCTATTCATCTGCATAACCACACTGTAAAACATGGTTTTAGATGAAATTAGAATAGCTAATACTTTATGGTATTAAAACACTCCATTCACTAAGAAAAGTAGATCCGAATTCTAAACATTAGCTAAATATAACGAAATACAGAAAGCTTTTTTCATTTTAGAATTATTAAATGAACACCAGAAAGAACAAGTTTCACTTTTTTCGTGTATTTAAACTACACTAATTATTAAATCAAAATAAAACAAAATGTTGACAGTTTCAAGGTTTCAGGACGCCTGTTGAAGTATATGTATAAGTCCTTCAGGGGGGTACAGTACAGTGGAACTCTGTTCATGAAGTTTTATGGAAGAGGAAAACAGAATAAGCCACATTACTTGAGTTATTCAGGTAGAGAAAGAACACTTTAGAGTACGTTGTTCCAATTTTTCAGATAAAATTCATGCAAGAAATAGGAACGTTATACGGAACACTGTTCTTTTCTTCTGTAGTTAAAATACGGGAAGAAGATTATACGAAACGCTGTTCTATTCTACTTCTGTAGGTAAAGTATAGGAAAAACAATGCAGGAGACATATTCTGTTCAAATTCTATAGATAAAGTATAGGAAGAACAATGCAGGAGACATATTCTGTTCAAATTATATAAATAAAGTATAGGAAGAACAATGCAGGAGACATATTCTGTTCAAATTATATAAATAAAGTATAGGAAGAACAATGCAGGAGATATATTCTGTTCAAATTCTATAAATAAAGTATAGGAAGAACAATGCAGGAGACATACTCTGTTCAAATTATATAAATAAAGTATAGGAAGAACAATGCAGGAGACATATTCTGCTCAAATTCTATAGATAAAGTATAGGAAGAACAATGCAGGAGAGATATTCTGTTCAAATTCTATAAATAAAGTATAGGAAGAACAATGCAGGAGACATACTCTGTTCAAATTATATAAATAAAGTATAGGAAGAACAATGCAGGAGACATATTCTGTTCAAATTCTATAGATAAAGTATAGGAAGAACAATGCAGGAGACACTATTCCAGGTTTTTTATGTTGTCATTTCATTAATCTAAAAAAAACCTGAACGCATGATTTTAAAGATAAATGATGATGCTAATTTTATCACATCTTAAAATTTTTTATTATTATTTTTGCGTTATATAACATGCTGGGAGATTTCACCACAAGTACCTATCAGAATCCAACACCAATTGCCATGTGATATCGAAAAGAAGGCGCTCTTGAAATTTTGAACTTGTAGTTTTGAACTGCATAAAACTACATAAAATAACTTCCTTAGTTTCTAATGGTTCATAAATTTATAGCCCTCCAGTGGCACAGCGGTATGTCTGCGGACTTACAACGCTAGAATCCGGGTTTCGATACCCGTGGTGGGCAGAGCACAGATAGCCCATTGTGTAGCTTTGTGCTTAATTACAAACAAACAAACATAAATTTATAAGAGCGTGGTTTGTTTGGAAGCTAGGTGAATGAATAAGTCTTCATTAAAAAATAGAGAAGGGGAAAACATCAACAAAGTGAGTACATCTCAGGTGATCTCTAATGGATGACGCGGTTTTTGTTATTCCCGAGTTGGACGTCCAAACCACGCTAATCCGCTAATTTTCGGTGCCTCAACAGAGTTGCTTATCCGATTGGCGTTTCTCACTGTATGCCAACAAAAGTAAACGCCTTTGGTAGTGTTGACAGACCTTCTAAGTGTTTGCAGTATGGTTTCATAATACACCGAGGTCTTTCCAAAGTTTGTTTTGTAGCCCGTGAGGGCTCGGGTAACGGCGCCTTTGTCGTCCTGGAGCCGCACTGAGTACATGTGAGCATAGCATCGGTATCGAAAAGAAAGGGGGGAAAACACACACACACACACACACTAAAATTTCTATATGATTAAATGTTATTATTTAAGTTAAATGCATCTTAAACCGTGCTTGCTCTCTGGGTAATAAATAAAATTACGTAACTACTGTTATCTCATATTGTTAGGTATGTATATTGTTGGTACACAAGTGGTTAATCCCGCAGGCTAGTAGTGCGTCTCAGCCAATCAGCACAACGGGTGATCTGTACTCTCCGCTATTCGCTGCAGCGACATTCCGAGACACCAGAGTTTCTGTTCACGGACTCATTCAGACTATTTTAATATCTCGAGATGAGTTACGGGCTCTGGGTCTTGATTAACCGAATCTTTTATAGTCTGTGTTACGTTGTTAGAAATACTAATGGTAATATTCACAGTTTGATACAAGGCTGCGCCCTGTAGCTTGACAAAGGCATTGCTGTACGTGAAACAGGTCAACTAACTCGGTTTTTCACAAAGGGCGTCTTCCTTGTACTGCCGGCAGAGCGACCACTAGTCGTGCTACTGAGGATTTAGGAAGAGCCAATAATTAGTTCTTTGAAAGTGGTCGCGGCGTAGTTTTTTGTATAACTCAAGTGTACTGTGCAGCCCGAGGTCGGGGGGGGTACACAAACCATCTTTCATTTCTTCGATCGTTTCAGTAAGTCCATGTTGTGCGGTTAGGTAGACCCACGTGTCTCTAAACTTCAAACAAACCACCTCAATACGTTCAGGGACATAGTACTCTAAAAGCAGGAGTTTTACATGCGTATGCCACAATAGTGAAGAATTGGCTAGCATACGGGTACTCTAGTTAATGTAAACCGATGTCAGATGAGATTCGAATAGTTGTGTGAGGCGACAGAGTGACTTATGACTTCCCAAAACTAGTTACATGTTCATGACTACCTGTTCGATACACCGTGTAAAATATTTCTTTGTATCTTGCTGTCATAATTTGTTGAGATTTTGGAAACTGTTTTATAGGTAAGGAGTTTCTATGGTAACTATGAGGAGACAGAGAAGAGCAACTGTATTTCTGTATAGCATTGTGTGAAGCGAAGGATCGATATGATATTATTCAGAACCTCGGTATAACAGAAAATTTCTAATTTGCTTACTCGATAATGTGGCAAGACTGGATCCTGCAGCTTACGTCAGGATATCAGAAGAAAGTCATGACGAAGCTTGTTTATGTGGCAGTACTAACTGTTGTACAGTTGGGAGTTTACGTTTCTCCACTTGGCACCTGGATGTGAGTAGATTTGTTTCTTAACTGAATAGTAATATAAAAATACAGCTAATTGTTATTATGTTTGTTAAACTTAACTATAGTGTAACATTACGATAGTTGTAAATCCAATATCACTATTAATTCCACAGAATTACAGAAAAATAGTTGGACTTTCTTTGTTCTTACTAAAGCTAACTGTAGTAACGCAATACGATAACCGTGAATCTAATATCACTATTAATTCCACAGAATTACAGAAAAATAGTTGGACTTTCTTTGTTCTTACTAAAGCTAACTGTAGTAACGCAATACGATAACCGTGAATCTAATATCACTATTAATTCCACATAATTACAGAAAAATAGTTGGACTTTCTTTGTTTTTACTAAGCTAACTGTAGTAACGCAATACGATAACCGTAAATCTAATATGACTATGAATTCCACAGAACTACAGAAAAATAGTTGGACTTTCTTTGTTCTTACTAAAACTAACTGTAGTAACGCAATACGATAATCGTGAATCTAATATCACTATTAATTTCAAAGAATTACAGAAAAATAGTTGGACTTTCTTTGTTCTTACTAAGCTAACTGTAGTAACGCAATACGATAACCGTAAATCTAATATGACTATGAATTCCACAGAACTACAGAAAAATAGTTGGACTTTCTTTGTTCTTACTAAAACTAACTGTAGTAACGCAATACGATAATCGTGAATCT